TGGTCCAATACACTAAACGCACTGAGAAAGCGATAGCTTCATCAAGACCATACACTTGGCATAATACTCTACATCTATTTAGGCTTACAGTCTAAAATACAGAAAATACGTTTGCGTTGCCATCTCTAAAAAATAAACAAGTGAGTTTGTGTAGAATGCAGCCCATCCTGCACTGAGGAATTCTCATTTCTTGGATTTTACATTTTCACGTTCATGATACAGCACCATCAAGAGGAAAGGCACTTTCTGTGGACTTTTTCCTCACTCCTTCGCGTCATTCCACAACAAAAAAAATCAACAAAAAAAAAAACAGCACCCAAAATTAGTAAGACTGATTATTTTTTATTACTATAACAGTAAAGCATCTTACTTTAATTAACGATAAAAAACTAAATTTGAGACACTGACCTTGTGCAATCAACTGGACAATTTTCAGCTACTCGGTGTGCATCGTACGCAAATTTGAAATTAGTGTAACCTATTATTTTAATCAAATATGACAAAGTAACTTAAAAAAAAAAATAAAATAAGAGGACAATTAAGAATTTCTTCGCCATCAACACAAATGTAATTTTGAGTTGGACAAATAAAAAGATCCAATCAAAGGTTCGCTTCCACTGGCCTCGATGGTCTTTGTTATGATGGTTCACTTCTTATATTTGCTAAGAAAAGCTGACGAGATTTTAAAAGTAAGCCAGGCAAACACATCCGCTATGTAAACATGTGTTTCTACAACCTGAACATCCATTTCAGACGGCAAAGATAGTGAATAATCAACCCCATTTAGTTAACTTCCAACATGTCGCCACCTAAAGTAGGGATGCACGATATTATCAACACGGTATGGGCCGATATTAGTGTCCAAGTTAAATATCGGCCATTCCATTAAAATAACACCGATATAAAAGCTGTTTTTGTAGGACAACCCAGTGACAAGGATGTCTGCAGCGGCAGCACAACGAGATGACGTCACGTGTGCCTACCTGATCTGATCACGGCAGAGGGGGAAATTCAAAATGTCGGCGGTGTGGGCGTTTTTTTTTTTTCAAGGATGTCGGATTCCGAAGATTTTTGGACTTCGTTGAGCCTCGCTACATCGTCCCCAGCCGGAGATATTTTTCCAGCGTACCCTGACTCGAGTTACAAGCCGTCATTTCAGACGTCATTGAGAAGTGAATAGCTGATAGCAGTTGAGTGAGTTTTACCACAGACATTTGGACGTTGTGTTAGCCCCGTTAGCATGATTAGTCTTACAGCACAATGGATGGACAAAAACGTTGAACTTTAAAAGTCTGTCCTTCATGCACAGACGTGTAGACACTGCAGCTAGGAACCTGGAACAAGCCTCCACAAGTGAAACAGCATCGCAGGTGACTAATGCTAATAAATAATATTCAACACTTTTCATTTAATATAAGTTAAAGTGCAATGCATATGGCTGTTATTGAATAGATGTCACCAGCTCTTACAGCTGTTACGCAATTTTGTAGCAAATAAGCCTAAATAAGAGGCTATGTTCTGACAAAGAAAAGCATATAAAAAATATCGGTATCGGCCAAATAAGTTTTGGCATATCGGCCGAAAATCCAATATCGTGCATCCCTAACTTAAAGCTTTCACTGATCAGCTTGAATTCTTTCCAAATTACGCTCACACTTTGAAAGAAAGTCAGAGAACCCATTAAACTGTCCTTCAGCTCTTCCTTTCTTACACCTTTTGGGGGGGGTTGGTTAAAATTGTATGACCCTGGAATGTAATCCTCTGGCACAGGGGAGTACATTTTTTAGAAGCAAAAATAAGATTAGCAGCTTTGTCACACTGCAGATGTAACAGGAGGCCACGTTTCTGAACATGTGCCCTCCAGGAAGTGTCAAAAACATGGAGGCCAGTTGAAGGAACACGAACAGAGGTTGCAATCTGATGCAAATCCTCAAAAAAATTTAATACAAAAATGAAAAGTAAAAAAACGGAGGAACCACTACACATTACCGTTATTCTTTGATCACGTGTCTTTGAAATGGATTACCAAAAACCTTCACGACGACTTGCCTAATCCTTCCCACTTGTTAAAGAGCAGGCATTAGCACCAGTCAAAGGAAAACCGAGAACATGCAAGAGAACAAGATCGACGTGATAACCAACTCTTCTTCTGTTCTCACAACCGCATGGAAAACTCAGGCTTTCAGATAATGCAAACCTCGTCTCCTTTACGATAAGCTTCCAACTGCATAAACGTCGACACAAATTAGAGAAATAAGTATTACCGTATTTTTCGGACTATAAGGCGCACTTAAAATCCTTCAATTTTCTTAAAAATCGACAGTGAGCCTTATAATCCGGTGCTTTTGGATTAATTCTGGTTGTGCTTACTGACCTCGAACTGATTTTATGTGGTTATTGTGAATGAGTTGAATAAAGTTTGACTTCTCTCTAATGCGTCTTAAAGTCCGAAAAATACGGTAAGCATCTTGCAAGCTCGTGTTTTTATTTTTTATTTTTATCTCAAACATCAAAGAAAGAGGTGTCCGCATCCCCCATCAATAACAGTAGGACAGTCCGGACACACGTCACTAGGTCCAACAAGCCCACCACTGTTCACACATAAACTACACGTTATACACCGACACAGGAACAAGTCAACAGTCAGTTGCAATAATAAAACTTTGTTTTTTTTTAACCATTACTTCTCATGATACATTTATTACTAAGGTTGATAATTAGACTACATTTTTTTCTGTTAGCAAAAATAAGTAGTGTGCATTACATAACTTCAAACGTACAAATATATTTTTTATTCTGGCTTTTTAAAAAGGCTTTTAGATACGAGTGAAATAATGAAGGCTCCGACCCACTGACCTCCACAGTGGAAGGCAGCCAAATGCAACAGTGGAGGCAGGACCCTTCTTTCTAAAGGAACGTTTGCTGTTGTACCATTTACAAGCTCTCAACGCTGACCCAAACTAAAACCATGCATCTAAGCTGAAGTTACAAAACGTTCTGCGCCCATCATAACAGAAGCACCGACTCCTGTCCCTCCATTTGAGGTTTAATGTTTGTTTTTTCATTACTTTACCTGCTCATACAGAGTCTCCTAAACAGAGGCTCAGATTCAAATTCTTAGAGTAGCACCATGCCTGTGTTCAGTCCAGAAACACATGCTTCTTTTAGTGCAGATAACTTTCCAAAAAAACACGTCCCCAACCAGCTTCAGGCCATCAGCAGAGGAGAAAAGCGACATGCGGACTGTAAACCAAGCACCCTTTCCACACAACAATCAGATGGGAGGTGCAGCGTATCTGCAGTGAGCCACCTCCGTTTGGTCTCTTGGTTTCGTTTTGACGCCAATAAGGCACGGGCGACGTGTGAAAGGAGCTCGTGTCAACAAACAATCGTTCCTGCTGTAGGTGTCCCGTCAGCTGCTCGACTCCTCTGCTGTGCTTTGAAGCGAGTCCCAACTCTGGGCCAGTTACGTGGGCAGGAATTTCACCTTTGGTGGACTTTTAATTTCCATCAAGTGAAAAACGCTGAAAGAATAAGTCGATAACGAGGCTAACGCCACGCCCACAAGCCCAGTCCACCTTTCTCCTCTCTAAACTCAGTGTAGCAGCTGGATTCATGTCCTGTAAATATTCGGCAAAGAAACGCTCCAAAGCATTAAGACCACTTTGAAGCAAAGCAAACACTCCTGTACAGGCATTTAGAATACACTTTGATCTGCAGGATATCTGAATGAGATGGACAGTCGGCAGACGGATGATAAGAAGAATGAGAGGCATCAGGTGTTCAAAATATCCTGTCCATACGTTGGAGTATAACTTTTATCAAGGATACAGCTTTTGACAATCAAATGTTTCTGCCAGGCACTTGAATACTACCTCATTATGGCCTTAATACTCCGCTCTGCTGTTGTCAGGTGAAAAGATTTGCTTTTTTTTTTTTTTCCAGCCATAAGAAAAATCAACCTCTTTAAGCAAACTATAGATCAGGACTTCTAAAAGTCAGCAAACATGCTCTGAAACCACAGGGGAGCATTAAATCCTTCAGTTCAAGTAAAAAAATAAAATAAAAACACAAATCGCTGAAACCGTCGCACCATTTTTGTCTAAAAGTAAGAAAAAATACATGTGCTGCTCATTTGACTCAAGAGGAGCAACGCAAAAAAAAAAAAGTGCCTCGGAAGTGGCAAAACTTCTCCTTTTTGAGGAAACTCACTTTCTGGTGAAATATTTAACCGTTACACGAGTCGTTCAAGTCCCCTAAGATCCACTTCCCTTCGCTCGACTGATTATTGCACTAAAGGAAACCGTTGACACAATCTCTAACTATCCGCCGTCTCAAACACAAAGGGAAATGTGAGATAACGCACTGGGGGGGAGGACGTGAATGGTTGATGATTGCCGAGATTAAAAATAAAAAGCGTACATAATAAAGTCGTTAAAAAAAAAAAAGGTAGAATCATAAAATGTTTCACATAATGCAGAGGAAACAACTAGACTAAAACAGTGTTACACTGAAACATACCCCATACATGGTTGCAATTCAGCAATTGATATATCAGCCAATATAAACTGCCCCAGTTCCAAAACTGGTGACTAAGGAGCATTTATACCTCGTCGCCAACAGATGGCAGTGTGCTCAAAATATTATTCATCAACAAGAATGAGAAGTGACAAAAAGGAAAAAATAAAAAGTGGCAACTTGGAAGGACCTGTGGTCCATAAAACTGAAGTCCAGAACGAATCGCCTCTTACTTGTTTTAAAGGTGGGGGGTGGGGGGGGTGGGGGTATCAACAAACTACAGTAAAATAGAAAGAATGTAAAAGTGCTGCTGCTCAAACTGACTTGAGGTACTAGAAATGGCAAAAAGGAGCAGAATAACAAACTGTTAAAAAAGTCCACGCCAGAGGAGGAGGGGGAAGTAAAAAGGAACAAAAACAAAAAACACCCTCAGGGTCACAAAAACAGGAGACAAACAGGAGGGGCATTAAAAAGGGGGGTGGGGTGGGGGCTAATAAGTGAGGAAATAAACTAGTTGGCTGGTTTAATATTGCATAACAGTGCTGAGTTTCTGTCTTGTTTGTTTTTAAAGCAGCGATTGCATCCTCAGTCCAGTGTGGGGGGGTGCCTTCTCCCCTCGCTCCTCCCTGCTTTCCTCTGCACAGTGTCAGGTCCGCATTGACTAGGCATGGGGGGGAGGGGGGGCATGCACCTATGAGAACTTCTTGACTGGTGAGCCAGGTGTGCATGGCTGTTTTTGTGTGTCTGTGTGTTAAAGGGGGTAATGTTTGAAAAGGGTGGTGGTTGTTCACTCAGGCGAAGTACATGGTCCTCAGAGTGTCGTGGTGGATCTGAACAGCTTTGGCCAGCGCCTGGGGGTCACGGCCGTTACTCTGACCAGAAACATGGCTGCCTTCAGCGCTGCGGAAAAAATTAAAAAGGACTACTTGTAGCAAACAACAAGACTATATTCAAATGCATGCTTAAATAAACTGGTTAATTCAGCAAAAAAATGAAACAAATCAAGTGCAGTCAAGTTGAAACAAAAATACGGTTTGAGATTCTTGGAGCTTTAACATCCAAAGTTAAGAAACAGAACCTGTTTTTTGTGCGAATGTTTATGAATCATTCACGCTATTGTGATCCATTTTCTACTGTATGTTTATCAGCATCTTTCTTGTTCCACAATTTTTGTGCTACTTCAACAAATCATAAATCAAAACGTTCAGCTCTTTCAGGAGAAGGGTGCTGTGACTTTTGGTATTGTTGCAACTTTAGGCTTTTTGAAATATTTAGCCTTTTCTGCCGTATTTTTTCTCATAGAAAATTAATTGAGCTCATTTTACATCCTTCAAATCTTAAGATCCATTTACAACCTTTTACTGCTCCTTTCACATTTTGTTCTGGTTCAGCTTCTTTCAGCTTCCTTGAGCAAATTTAGACTTTTCTTCAGCTGCTTTCAGCTGTTTGCACTCTGCTAACTACAACATTTTTGTTCTTTTAACTTATTATGCTTCTTTCAGCGTATTTATGCAAGTTTCATCTTTTTCTGCTATTTCAGCTACGTTTAGCTGTTTTTCTGCTAAATTTAGCCTTTTCAGCCGTTTCCACATTTTTATTTTTTTTTTTACACCATTTCAACATTTTTCAACCCAATTCTAATTCAACAGAAATTAACTCTCTCCACTTCTGGTAATTTCAGCTTCTTTTTGCATTTTCAGCTACAGTTCAGCTGTTTTTCTTTTTGTTGTTGCTAATTTCAGCTTTTTTTTTCAAATATCCACTTGTGCTCATTTCTGCTTCTTTCACACCAATTGTGGAAACATGTTTTTTTGGCTTTCTTCAGTTTATTTAAGCTTGTTATGCATTTTCAGCTAGCTTTTTGGTGTTTTTTTTAATTTTTTTAGCTCATTTCAGCCGTTTTCAGATAAATTAAAGTTTTTAGTGGTAATTTTTGCTACTTTCAGCTCACTTAACTTATTTTTTATCATTTCAGCTTTTATCGGCTAGTTAGTTGTTTCCACTATTTCAGCTACTATTCAGCTTTGTAAGCTAATTTTAGCTTTTTTCAGCTAATACCACATTTTTAACGCTCATTTCAGCTCCTTCAACTTCCTTCTGATTGTTTAAGCTTCTTTCTGCCTTTTCAGCTACTTAGCTATTTTCTGTTAATTTCAGCTTTTTTAGCTAACATGCCAATTTTTGTGCTTATTTCTGCCTATTTAAACCTAACTGAAATGTGTTCTTTCTGCTTTCTACTGATAACTTAGGCTTGTTCTTGTACTGCAACTACATTTCAGCTGTTTTTTTTAGCTAGTTTTTCTGCAATAAGTATTCACACTGCATTTTTGCAGGAAATGCAATTTCTCTAGTTTACTCTGGTTTACCTGTCATGCTCTTTGTCCACCAGATGGTAGCGGGCACGGAAGGCCACCAGGTGTGCGTAGTAGGCAGGTGCAGGGATGGAAACTGAGCGGGTACAGCGCACATAGGTGTGGCACAACTGGTAGGTGAGCAGCTGGAACTCGTCAGCAGTAAAACAATTGTCGTCCCACAGTACATGGTAGTGGGAGGGCCGACTGGTGCCCTGAGGAAAAAGAAACAAAACGGTACATTGACAAGATTAGATTTTGTTTTGACCCACTACAAAAAAAATTGAAAGACATGCGATAGTTAGCGCACAGACAGGTGTCGACATTTTTTTTAAGAGGAATCTGTGAGAAAATGGCAGCAGGTTGACAATAAAAAGATTAACAAGGTGTTCTAACCTGTATTCCAGCGTGACTGCAGAGATAAAAATCAAACTCGTAGGGATGTGTAATGTCCGTATCCACAGTAGTACCAGCAGGAATGTTTCCACTGCGTCCAACCTTAAAAAGCAAAAGGTAAAGAAACTGGTCCAGATGACATGATTTAACCTTTTTTTTTTGTTATCCACCTGGATGATTGAGCCTACAAACCTTGTTTTTTTTTTTTTTTTTTTGTGTGTGTGTAACATCAGTTAGACCCATTTACAGCCAATCTCTGGGCAGCACGTCTCATCCCCAAAATGCCCCCCAGGCGCTTTCAATAGCTGCCCACTGCACCACCTGGTGGTGGATGGGTTAAATGCAGAGAATAATTTCGCTATTGTATGGAAACATACAGTGCTGACATTGTGATGACATTATTATTATTATTATAAACATGGAACATAAATACATAAGCAAAGCATACTGATAAATTAAAACAAGAACAACAACAAAAAAAAAAAAATATATATATATATATAAATAAATAAAAGGACTACATGGTTTTAAAAGATAAAAATTCTACTAATGAAAATATAAATCACGACGCAGCCATTAAAAATGTTTATCGAGCGCTTCTCAAAACAACCACTTATATTCATAAAGCCCTTGAGAGTTTAATGTTCTGCAGGAAAGTGCCTGTGGAAAAAAATAAGGTTATTACTGGGCTGGTCTTCCTCGGGAGACACCGAGTGCCACTTCAGAGCTATTGGTCTGGGTTGGGCCTAATGCTTAAATCGAATGCAATTACACAGGTTAGGAGGAGTAACATTCCAATTAACTACAGAAAGGTAAATAAAGACAACCATTTTCAGTACTTATTGTGCTAATAAAAAACTAACTAGAACGATCGCATGGTTTACGTTCATGATAAATGCAGTTATTCCCTATTCAGGCATTGATCAAATCCTAAAAACCTCTCTTTGATAATGTTCATTTCGTAGTCCACCGTTGCCGTTCACCCTCAACTCAGTTCAACTCATCATTTGATCACGTTATTAAACAGCTTTTAGTAACATCAGGTAAACTTAGCACCCATTATTAGCTCTGAAAGACCCTTCGTTACGTTTGAAATCCAGGCTCTCATCGTAAAAAAGCATAAACCTCTCAACCATTTGTGTAAAGTTTGTCACTTATTTTAAAACCTCTAACAACTAAAGTTGTGTTTGTTTTGTTGTGAAGCCGGAGTACACCCTTGAGTCCAGTGAACAATTGAGCCAAATTTGCTGAAATGTTTGTTTCAAAGTCGCCTCGTGAAAGAAATGGGATGGAAAAATAGCCACGAAAACATGAAACTGCTCTCGCTGCTTGTACAGGCACAGAGGCATAAAAGCAACACTGACTAACTTTAATAGGAATAATTATTTTGTTCTAGTCAAAGAGGCTAGATGTTTGCGTGCGTCAGTAACTTACTCTCTCGTTTCGGTCGGCACAGAACAGGCGTGTGTGGTGGCGTTTTTGCACAACAATGTAGGTGATGCCTGGCTGGTACTCCTTCTCCAGGCTGATGCAGGCCTCACGGATGGCCAGCAGCTCATAGTACAGCACCTGATGAGTGGGATGACAAATTCTGCTTGAAGCATTTAAGGGAGAAAAAAATGAACCACTTAAAGAAAACTGTGCAAACAAAATGAACGCATGATCAGATTTCAGAGCCACAGTTCATTTCTGCACATGACTGAAATGAACCACTAGAGGTTGCTGCACACACTTTCAAACTGTGAGTTTAACTTGAATCACGATAATCAGCTGACTACATTACAGGCAATCCAAGCATAAAACCAACATTTCTTATTAATTGACCGCATTAACTCCTAAGAAATTCTATTAGTATTTCCAGAAACGTGTGTTCTTGTAACACATAAAAGCTATTTATCAACTTTGCAGCAATAGAGGTACAACGCTGTAAGTTTGCATCAGTTACTCAATTTCTAAGAAAGTGAGTATACATATTTACACATTTTCAATCTTTTTTTTTTTTTTTTCAAAAACCCGATCTCACCTGGACACTTAATGGCTAATAAGAAGCTATTTGACAGTTTGCACAACTTGAGATGAGTATGTGACTAAGTTAAGACTCAAAGCAGTCTGCCCCTCAGATAAATAACATTATTAACTTACTTTTTATGTATATGAATGTTTGTGTTCAGTGCTCTGAGATGACTTCTGTTGTGACTTGGTGCTATATAAATAAACTGAACTGAATAGAAATGTCACTCCTCCTGAATCCCTCCCGTTTTCTTCAGCACCACAAGGCTGACTCACACATCTTGAAACACCCAAGACAACACTGTCCACACAGGACATTTTCTGGAAACTCTGATTTGACCGTGACCTGCTGCTTAATTCATCTGCTGAATAAATGTAAAGCTATACATAAATAAAGAAAATATAGCAAACCTGTCTGAACTGGCCTTCTGAAACGCCGTCCCTGTAGAAAATGATCCTGGTAGGCTTGTAGCGGGTTGATTTGTAGAACTGGATAAGCAGTTCCCGCACCATAGAGGCCAGGTCCTGGATAACCTCCTGCCTGGGTCTCTGGACACGCACAGTAGCACAGTACCTGCTGGGGTGGGCGTCCATACTGCCGACCACCTGCAAGAGATAAATGGGACAAGGATGAGTCAGAAGGAGGACGTGAAGGTGTGCAAAAGGAAACATCAAAATGCCATTTCAAGTCAGTGTTGTGAGCAAGAGATGAAACGAACGGCTGCAATTGAAGGCTTCTTCCCATCTCCAGCCGGTGGATGTGTAACATCTGCTCCTAGGAAGATAACTGGCTGCTGAAACACTGATGGTCTGTGGATTAGGAATCGGCAAAGGCATAAATTAGCAGGAATAGCTTGATACTGTATCATAATGACCAACTCTCAAACATTTAAAACATACTGTAGAAACAAGTTATCAATTTCAAATAGATAGATAATACTGTAGGGCAGTTGTGAAAGTTAGAGGAAACTGCGACTTACCTTTGGTGAGGCACCAGGATGTTGTTTATTCCTCCCAGCTTCACATTGATCTTGAGGCAGAGGTTGGAGAGGGTCTGAGGTGACGTCTTTACCACATTCTTCACCTGAACACATTGGGTCGCCATGCCCAGAAGGGTGTCTCCCACACGCTTCACCTCCGCTATAGTGGTTTCACCAAACACAGTTATTATTCTCAAGTATTTGTTTTTTTGCGCACAGTCTTGGAAGTACATCGCTGAACTAAAATGTGTTGGTGGTGCAGCAGTTTTTCTAACCATAGACCGGAGTTTTCCCAGGCAGGATGACGATGATGAGCTGTAGTCCGGCATAGGTGTTCTTCAGGTGTCTGAACATGGGCTCCACGCTGTCCGCTCCCTGGGCGTATTTACAGAAGCATGGCTGGCCTTGGATGGGCATCCCAGCATCCTTTGAGATTTTGCGCAGCTGGTCTGTGAAACCCCTGCATAAGGAAAGGACAAAAGTGAGTAGAAGGAAACTTAACTGAATTCACATGAATTTTGTGAAGTATTCATTAGTTTGTGGAGAAGCTTTTTTGTCACGTCCACAGAAACCTGTGTTGAGTCATGTAATGATTATACTATGTAATTTCCTTAAACAAGAATCTTTGGGAGGATTTACATATTTCAAGCGCTTTTGTTTAATTACAATAGTCTTTTAAACTGCAGATTAGATACGTCTTTCTCACTGACAACGATTTGATCATGAGCTGGATCTGCAACACCGATATTAGCAAGAACAACCAAGACAAATTAAAAGAGACCCACTAATGTTTTCAAATGGCCAAGGTAAGTCAAAGTTCTCTCTTTTTTTATTTTTATTTGGAGTCATCTTTAAAAGATTCTCACTTGAGAATTTCTTCCCGACACTGCCTCTGTGTGGCGAAGCAGGCGATAGCCCACATCTTGATCTCCACCCCAGTGTGGAACTGCTTTCCCCTCATGTCCCACACCCCATGGCTGGGTGTGGCTACAGTGCGGTTCTGAAACAACATCACAGTCTCAGCATACGTACTAAAGATTATGTAAGCAAAAACTCATGTTCACAGCACTCACTCTTAAACAATTTGACTAACAAGCTCAGTCAGACGTAAAACACAAACTACATTCATTCTACATTCCCACCAATCTACACAGAAATTCATACTTTGACATAAAATCAAAGAAACTAAACATGCTTGTGTAAGTTTGTACAAGACGGACAACTAACATTTCTACATCTTTTAGCTTAGCTGCGTGATTCAATATAGTAACAGGTTAAATACAAAGAAAATATATAAAGGTGTGTCAAGTATTAAACTAAAATATAGTTCAGTCTCAATTAGCTCCTTTAATTTTTATTAACTCTAAATCTATTTCTTATTGAAAATCTAGCCAATTCGGTTGAAGTAGGACTGTCAAGATAAACTTTGCTGGGCGATTAATTGTCTCAGAAATTATTGCGATAAACGTTAATATTGTTTGAAATTTTACAATAATTAGTAATTATTGTCAAATTTAAGAAGAAATGTTCATTTGTTTTGCGTTTAGTACCTCGTTCTGACCACCGAATGGCAGTACAAGACTATTTGAACCAAAAGATGGATAGTAAGGGAGCGAGCAGCGTGTAAGAGAAAATGGGAGGGAGGCCCCTTGACGTGACATGGGCCGTCTCTCTTCGGTTCTCAAAATGGTGGACGCTCGGTGTGGTTTGAGCTCTCTAGCATAGCATTTCTCACACAAAGCTTTAAATTAAAAAACAAAAAAAAAATCAGTAAACAAGTTCTCAGCTTCTTTCTGCAGAGAAAAAACTTTTTACACAAAATATCCTGATGCATGCTCAATAATCCAGGTAGAAAAATCCAAAAAAGTTCAATCTGGTCCTCTGGACATTCAAAAAAACAAAAGCAAAACAAAGCAAAAAAAAAAATTCTAGAAACATTTCATCTCTCATCCAAGAGACTTCCTTTTTACACAAAGGTACAAGTTTCAACCATGAATTTTGGAGTTTCAACAAGGAGGTTTTTTTCCCCTGAGGTCAGCCTGTTAACTTAGCTTCTCAGCTTAGCTGCTTTTAACGACCCAAAAACGCAATTTTTGACAGTTAAAATGGATTTTAAAGAGAAAGGGAGGGGTCAGTGAAGAGCACCGGAGTTGAGCTTTTCGTCATCCAGTGTCTTCAATAGAAAGAGAGAGACACAAAGAAACAATAAAGCTGATCAATGAAAACGAGGTTGACAATTTTCATTTATTATGCGATTAATTGATTTATTGTTTATCGTGACAGGCCTAGGTTGAAGTATTTCAAAATTTTTTGAAAAAAAGAGTTTAGCACGTCCATTTAAATTTTTATTTTTTGAGAGGTAGAATAAAAAGATTACTGAGACTCAACCATACAAGCTAAAAAGGTTAAATAACTAAATAACTAAACAAATAAATAAATATGCAAACCCCAAGTACAAACAGAAGCCAGTGTTAGTTCCCCACAAACAGGAGGGGAAAGCGTGTCAGACAAACACAGAGAATGGGCGTGATTTAAAAGAAGGGTACCATAAAGTGCTCAGTGCTCACCCTGCCGCCGTACTGCAGCATGGGGGCGGGTAGCACTCGCCCCGTCACGTGGGCCATCTCGTCGCGCACTTTAAACTGGAACTCTTGAACGAACGGATCAGCTTCATAGTTGGCACTGCGCACCTGCAAAGAGAAGGAGGCAGGAAACTCAGACACGTTGCAGGCTTAAGCATTTACCGACAGCACAACAGGTTTAGAACTACATAAAAAATGTGGAAACTAAATTAAACTTTTTTTTTTAAACATGAAAAATTACCAAATTATCTCACTATGATAAAATAATTTATACAAATAATTTCAGGCAGTTTAGCCTGTTGAGGAAGCACGTATTACCGGTAATATGGTAGAGCTAGAAGAGAACACACTGTCCTTGTTTTTTGTGTTTCATATTTTCAGCCATCAGTACCTTACTTGAACCCTCTATTAGGATATCCAAATGCAATACAGAATTTATTGTGTAGTTTTGACGGGCACAGCTTATCGGTTTACGCTTCAGCCACGTCATCCAGCCAGCGGTGCATGAAACCACGATCATGTTTATCATGATTTGTAGTGCTGAACTCCAATCATTTTGCTTCTTAGACAACAGCTCGAGGGACATGGTTTAATAAGGCAACAACACATAAAATGTGTATAGCTAATCTCATTGGAGCCAGAGGCAGGCTGTTTTTCAGTTTCTCTATGAACAAATGCTGTAGACACTGTAGGAGATTCATATTAAAGCCATTTGGAATAGGGCTTTTGTTGTCCTTGGGCAGATTTGCACTGTAATTGCCTGCCGTGATGGAAAAGCACAAACATGCCTCTGGTAAAAACATAAAATGAGAGGCGAGGTGATCACAAAAATCAGTTGTTTAACTAAATCTGCACGGCATCAAAGATTTGAGAGAATTAACTTTTCCATAAAAGTGTTACCAGCTTCATTCAAAATACTTTATCTCATCACATTTAAGTTTAATTTGAACTATATAGCCCAAAGAGTTTGTTTAAAGAGCATCCTTTTTGTCTTCAATTTAGCATTGTTAAAACTTTGTCTTTGCTTTTGTTTTGACCCACGTGTTGTAGCTTTTGACCTCAGACGCTTATTATACAACAAGAAAACATTTTAATACATTTTTGAGGATGTAATGATTCATCAGAAACGGGAGAATTAAAACGCAGTGACCGAAAACTCACCAGCCTGCTGATCTCCTCTTGTCGGTCGGGTGCAGAGCGAGCTGTGGCCTTAATCATTGTGGAGGTTTGATTATCCGTCAGCTTCTTAATGCACCGTTGACCAGCTACGATGTTGCACACCTGAAATTAAAAAACAGCAGCATTTAATTTCATTATTTAGGCAGAGAACGATTTCCTGTAGGCTCCTTAACGTTTCTGCAGCTGCTCAATTTTCCATTTGTCACACAAACACCTGCAGCCATTACATCTTCACTGACGTCATTAAATTATTGTCAGATGTCGTCATTACTAAAAGTTTGTTTACTCACCTCCAGAGGCAGGTAAGTGTGCTTTTGCTCCTGGCCCACCTGTAGACAGGGCAAATGTGGGTACTTGAGTTGCAGGCTGTACTTTTCCCTGAAGTACTGGGCTACTGTACGTTCTACAGTCTGACCGTTCTCCAACTGTAGAGGGAACCTGAGAAGAGAAAATTCTACGTGTTAAACTGGACAACATGGTAATCTGCAGATTTACTGAGCTTATATTAACAGATAACTTTAGATTTTTTTAAACTAGGATATATGCTCATCAAGTCCCTCCACTGCGTTTCAGAATTGCATATCTATAGATCAGAAAAACTACTGGAGTAAACTCTTTGTATGGAATAACTTTTTATGTTTTATTTCATAGTTCACAACGAGTAACTTTAATATAACTAAATTTTAGTTTAATTATTGTAGAAAAGAATACATCTTTTTAAGCCACTGCCTTAAATAAAACTGGTGACAAAAAGAAAAGGGAGATGCAATGGTAAGTTTTAGGTCTGTGAAAAATGTAAGTAGGATTTTCACAAATCGTTTCATAAAGAACGAGTCCTTGCACATCGTCATAGAAACAGTCATGGCCGAAAGTGTTGGCACCCCTGAAATTTCTCCAGAAAAATCAAGTATTTCTCCCAGAAAATTTTTGAAGTTACACATGTTTTGTTACACGTTTATTCCCTTTGTGGTGGTGGCGATTACTACTACTACTACTACTACTACTACCCACCAACACCACTACTAGTAATTTTACCAAAAACTCCCAAAATGAGCTAAATAAAATTATTATTAATACTTAATATTTGGTTGCACACCCTTAAGAAAAAAAAAAAACTGAAATCGATCGCTTCCTAGAACCACCAACAAGCTTCTTTCTTACACCTCTCAACTGGAATTTTGGATCACTATTCTTTGCAAACTGCTCCAGGTCTCTCATATTTGAAGGGTACTTTCTCTCAACAGCAGTTTTAAGATCTCTCCCCAGGTGTTCAGTGGGATTTAGATCTGGACTCATTGCTGGCCACTTCAGAACTCTCCAGTGCTTTGTTTCCATCCATTTCTGGGTGTTTAATGAAGTATGTTTGTGGTCATCATCCTGCTGGAAGAGCCATGATCTAGGATGCAAACCCAGCTTTCTGACACGGGGCTCTACATTGCGACCCAGAATCCTTTGGTTATCTTCAGATTTTGTAATGCCTTCAGCAAAACAACCCCAAAACGTCTTTGAACCTCCACCATATTTGACTCTAGGTACTGTGTTCGTTTCTTTGTACATATCACTCCATTTTTGGTAAGTAGTAGAAATCATTCAACCTTTATTTAGACGGATTAATCCCATTGATCCTCAATGACTCATTTACAAGAGAGACCTGAACAGAATGATGTGCTTTACCAAAAAGCTCTGTCTTGGTCTCTCTCATCTGTCCACGAGACATTGGCCCTAAAAGATTTTGGTTTACTCAGAGACATAAAATGGCTAGACTGCAGTTTGCCAACATGTACGTGTGTCAGCAGTGGGGTCCTCCAGGGTCTCCTGCCATAACATTTCATTTCATTCAAATGTCGACAGACAGATTGCGCCGACACTGTTGCACCCTGAGCCTGCAGGACAGCTCGAATTTCTTTGGAACTTGATTAGGGGTGCTTATCCACCATCCAGACTCTTCTGCTTTCACCAGTTTTTCCTCTTCCATCCATGTCCAGGGAGATCAGCTGCAGTGCCATGGGTTGTAAACTTCTTGACATTGTGGACAAAAGGAACAAAGATCTCTGGAGATAGACTTGTAATCTTGAGATAGTTGGTATTTTTCCACAGTTATGGTTCTCAAGCCCTCAGACAGTTCTCTTCTCCTCTTCATATCCATGCTTAGGGTGGCAAGTCTGTTTTAAATTGTGCTCTATAAATAAATATGACTTGACACTTGGACACACAATGCAAAGATCGAGTCAACTTCTCTCATTTTTATCTGGTTTCAGGTGCAATTTTTATATTGCCCACACCTGTTACTTGCCACAGGTGAGTTTAAGTGAGCATCACATGCTTGAAAATGTTATTTACCCACAATTTTGAAAAAGGTGCCAATAATTTTGGCTGACTTAATTTTGGTGTTTTGTGTGAAATTATATAAATTTTGGCCCTTTTTTCTCCCCTTAGTTTATGTTGTTCCAATATACACAAAAGGAAATAAACGTATATAACAAAACGTGTAATTGCTATAATTTTCTGGGAGACAACTTGATTATTTTGGAAATATTTCCGGGGCACCAACACGGGACCATGACTGTAAGTTAGTTATTTGAATAGAACAGCAGACGCTGCAAAATAATTCATTCAGTAATAGATGACTAATGTTGATTGCATAATTGTCAGATGAGTAAGCGGTTATTTTGGGAGTTCGGATGCTTCTTTTTCACGATGTTCCCCACTTCCCCTCCCAAAATCTCCTGTTTTCTTCCACACCACAAGGCTGACTCACGTTTGATGGCTGGCAGGCCGACGGGTCACGTTGCAAACACGATACTTCCTCCGCATTGTTCCACAGTGTGTCACCTCCACCTTTAAACCTGGTGAAGTTCATAAAAGCGTTATAGTAACATGACTGTCTGTGGCATGTGCTCAATCTAATCATGCTCAAACTTCCTCCCCTACATACACACTTTAAACCAATTCAGACCCTATTTTCACACACAGGCACACCTCACATCCCCTGCTTCACCTTTGATTTCTTTGGTGAATTTGACCCGGTGAGAGTCCGTGAGAGGTCGAGGCTGCTCGTCTATGTTGTGGATATCCAGAACTTCACACATGAACTGGATAACTGGCTGGGCTTTGTAGAAAGCTGTGGCAGAGACTGGAAGAGAATGCATGCTCAAGAATTACTTAAGAACAATATCTACTTCACTTGAAACAAATTCCATCTGCTGTTGGAGAAATAATGAAGCAAACAAAAATAGTTCATTTTTGAGGATAAGGAAGCTGGTGACAAATTATTTCATGTTTTGAGGATAAAAAACTGCTTTTCAGGAACTCTACAACGATGAACAACAAAGAAACGGACAATGCACTGCTGAGTTACACAGTGTTAAAAAATTGACAGGACAAGACATCGCATCAACCATAACTGTCCCTATATTTAATACATTTTCATATCTCCACATGAAACAGATGCCTCAGGCGCACGTAAAATGATCCAATTTCTCTAATTATTATTTTTAAGATGATTGTTTCTTTCCCTGCCCCCTTTTCACTCAGTTTTTTTTTTTGTTTGTTTGTTCTTGTAGCAAGTGAAATAAATGTATATAAAATGAAATTAAATGTATGGCTGCTTTTCTTTACAGTGCAGAAAGTGGGATGCAGAATATTTGGAAAATGGGCATTAAGACTGATTACTAGATGGACTTTCCAGTACACAGCCTTCTCTGTCCAGAATGATTTGCATACACTAGCCTCTAGTTTCAACACCAGCTCTATTTGCTGATGGAAAGAGGAAGTCAATTGATTTATAAGCGACAAGAGAGCAGTAAAATAAAATTTAAAAAAAATGGCGGCAAATACTCAAAAACAGACAAGAAGCTCAACAACTGAAGAGGAACAAAAGCTACTAGAAGGAAATGCCCCACATAGCTTCACTGTCAACCCCACCAACAGCCATCAACAGATTCAGTCATCCAGGCAAAAGTATGTGTAACTATGTGTAAATTATCTTTCAGCTGGTAACAAGTTATTTAACACCAACTGGTGCAATGAGTTGATTCTCATTTCTTAAACAACCATGTTGAAAGACGCATCACGTGGTCGTGGAAAAGATGTCGGTCTGTGTGAGAAGGGTCAAATCATTGGCATCAAGCAGAGAAAACATCTAAGGAGATTGAAGAAACTACTAAAATTGGGTTAAGAACTGTCCAACACACTATTAAAAACTGGAAGGATAGTGGGGACCCATCGATTTCGAGGACGAAATGTGGCTAGAAAAAAATCCTGAATGATCGTGATCGGCGATCACTTAAACGTCTGGTGAAATCAAATCAAAGCAAAACAAGAGCAACACTCAGGGCTCTGTTTAATAGTGAAAGTAAGAGCATTTCCACGTGCACAATGTGAAGGAAACTCAAGGGATTAGGACTGAACATCTGTGTAGCCTTAAGAAAACCACTAATCGGTGAGGATAAAGGGATAAAAGGCTTCAATTTGCTAGGGAGCATAAAGATTGGACTCTGGAGCAATGAAAGAAGGTCATGTGGTCTGATGAGTCCAGACTGACCCTGTTCCAGAGTGATGGACACATCAGGGTAAGAAGAGAGGCAGGTGAAGTGATGCACCCATCATGCCTAGTGCCTAGTCATCAATGCAAGATCTTGGTGAAAAATTAATGCAACACTGGATGGAAATAGATCTTGTGATATTCCAGAAGCTTATTGAAACAATGTCACAGAGAATGCATGCTGTAATTAAAGCTAAAGGCGGTCCAACGAAATATTAGTGTGACCTTTTCTTTTTTTGGTGGTGACTTTTTTTTTTTTTTTTGGCCAGACAGTGTACTGCAGCATCATTTTTTGGGCCTGAAGCCGGTGCATTGGTGGCTGAAAAGGAGAGAACCGATGCCAAGTTCAGTACAGGCTCCAAAACCGGCATTTGGACCAAACAAATGTAAAAACATTTCTCTTGCAAACTTCCTCTCACACAATAATTATTTCTTGAGTACTAACAGACAAGTGCATAGAAATTCTGACTCAACTCTAGTCATTTGTTTTCCACAAACATCATCATTGTACAACATACAGTAACTATAGACTTTAGTTTCTGGACAAATACCAAACTAGATTTGTAATTTTATTTCCACTCAACTGATTCAAGATGACAGTCTGAATCCATTCTGAAGAAAAAGAAAATAAATCTTTGAAAAAGTAAAATCTTAAAATGTTTAACAGCATAGAAGCTCCGTGTCATTCTAAGCCATATGTTTAATAATTAAAATTTCATTTCCCAAGCTGTGAGAGGAACAGCAAAATCCATTTCTGTGCATCAATAAACAATTATTTTTAAATTCCCCGTTTCTGTGAATATTAGATCATTTCTAAATATGGAAAGCTTTATTTGAAAATGTGCCACGTTGTGCTTTAGGGAGCCGGCAGTGAGAGGTTTAAGGACAAACAGCAGAATTTGTCTCTTACCATCAATGTTTAGCATCATCTTCCACATGGCGGGGCGCACAGACTGGTGAAAACCAAACCAAACCTCCCTCCCACCCCCCAGAGGATGGTCATAACCCTCAGGAGCTGAGAAAAAGGAACGGCCAACTGGAGTGTACCTTAATGGAGAGAAGAATTAACCATTAAAAGGCTAAGTTATTAAAAAAAAAAAAAAAAAAGAGTGTTAAAAATCCCAAGTAAATTAAAAAAAGATGACGAGAACCAAATGCGACAGGAAATAGCAACAAAATGACATCCTGACTTGAGAATGTAGGTCAAAATGTGTTCAGCAGGTGTCACTCATCTGCAGTTCAGACTACAACAGTGAAATGACAGATTCATGACACCGCCTCAACCTTTTATTACTCCACACACAAGACACATTAATAACAAGGCACCTTCTACTTTGTGAATCGTACACTGACAGCCTGTCAGGATGCCAGTGTAATACCAAGCCTCAAGCACCTGTGAGCAGAACTAAATGAAAGGTGTTGATAAAAGCACCATTTAATAACCCTCTGAAAGGGATTTTTATTACAGCTCACACAATATTGTGTTTGGCTGTGTCTTTTCTGAGCCTTGGGAAAGTGACAGTGAGTGGAAGACGATGTGGTGTTTTATGAGAGTCCATAAAATGTGTGTTTGATGTCCGTTTGGATCGGCGTGCTGATACCAGTACACTAAAAATACATAAATACAGTATTTACTCGAGTATCTGAGGGACCGCACTTAATTTTCATATCAAACGTCATATTTGTTTTGGTTTGTTTGGTTTATTTCAAACGTGTTAACTATAGTACAGACAATAATCTTAAGCAAAGAAGAGAGCAGCAAAAAGAAAATAATAATAATAATAATAATTTAAACGTGTACATGTATTTCTCCACTTTTTGTTTAGCTCACATGTCGAAAAGGAATGGGAAGAAGTACAAACTTATTTAATCCCACCCCTTGTCAATTTTTCTTATCAAATTCCTTATTAATAAAACCGCTAATGAAACAATAGACACATTTGCAATTCAGTAGTCCTTCACTATTTTGCAGTTTGTTTTTCACGGACTAGCTCTATTGTGGTTTTTCAAAGTAAGATTGAACACGACACACAATTGGCTGATTGATGGATGAGCTGCACGACCGGCATGGAATTTGTATTTTAAATAAATTTAAAATTATTTAGCACCTGCTGCACCTGTGTGCAGCCCACAGCTGCAGAAAAAGCTCCCTCCTGCAGCGTGTCGTATCACCGTTCTGCAGCAGAGAAGTGGGCGTGGCCGAGAGCGCCGACAGAGAGATCATGACATTCTGTGCTCTTTTAGAAAATTTAGTTTAGAAACATTGTTTAGAATATTGTAAGCGTGTGGGAAGGGTTTACTTTCTACTTGTACTACTATTCCTACTTTGCGGTTTTTCACTCATCGAGGGGTTTCAGGGTACGGATCCCCTGCGATAAACGAGGACTACTATATTGAGATACTATTTCTTAATACAAGTACTTTTTTTTTTGTTACATATCTTTGTATTTCATAAAAAATAATGTGGATATTGCTTCAATTCCACATTCAAGTCATTCCACAGTTTCACCCCTCACCCAAAAACACAAAAACTCTTCCTCACAGTGCGCACCGTCACAACTTTCAGTTGACAAAAAAACTTTAAAATGGTAACCTCCTTCCCAAAAAAGAAACATACTTTGAATATTGTTTGGTAAATTATCCTGTTTGGCTCCAAGTAAAATTTGTAATGTTTGGAACTTGGCCAGATCTGTAATTTTCAGTATTTTGAGCAGTAAGAATGGAGTTCGTCTGATCCCTGTAAGCTGCATTGTTAACGACACAAACTGCTTTTTTCTGGAGAATAAAAAGTGAACGTCACGTTTTATAATAATTACCCCAGATCTCCACACAGTACCTGAAATAAGGGAAAACTAGTGAACAGCAGAGGATATGGAGTGATGTCAGATCCTGTACCTGCTTGGTTTTCAGTACCGTCATGCTTTTTAATGATTTAAAATAAATATATTTATGATGTGCTTTTTAAATGTCTCATCTACCATTACCTCAAGAAATCTGATTTCACTAACTCTCTCCACATCAACCCCATTTATTTGAATATTTACTTGTGTGTTTGATGTACTACTTCCAAGTAACATTAATTTAGTTTTATTCAAATTTAGCAACATTTTTTTCCATCAAACCATATTATTAATATTTTAATTTCAGTGATAATTTCATCGTGTAAATTCTGCAAAACCATCACCAGAACAGAAAACACTTGTATCATCAGCATATTGAAGTTAAAGGTGAGAATAATCAATTATTCTTTTATAAGTGGACTACTGGGTAGTTATCAGTTTTGTTCTTAACATATTCTTTTAATCATCTACAAATAAAAAGTGATTAGAAAAAACTAAAAGGTCTGAATGAATCTTCATGAAGAAACATGACAAATAAAAACCGCTCACTTCATGGAAGGGAGGTGTCGCAGCACTACGTCCACTGCATGAACGGGGTTGGTGCTGATGGGCTTGTCCAGCTCCAGAGGTTCAGGCATGCTGCGGCCGGTCAGCACTTCGTGAAGCATGTGCCAACTGACCAGAGACACAAACTTGATGGAAACTTTAAAGGGACGATCTTTCCCGCCCTCGCCTGGAAGAGTGACATCAAGATCCACCTGAAAATAACAAAAAGAGTGAAGGAGGGACTCAAGGTGTGGTCGATCAGAAGTTATTGTTCTGAACAGCAGCAGGCATACAGAATGTTTCTAAACCTTTGCTTTTGTGACTTTTATCAACTTACCCCTGTGGGTGCCACAGGCAGTGGGTTGGCTGTGTACAAACTCCTCTTTCCATCATAAACTGGCCTGCGATCTCCAAAGATGGTCACCTTGAAGTGCTGCACCATGGAGTCAACCACCTCCCTGTACAACATGAGCAAACACATCGAAGAAGAAACCTTTGTGAATGTTTTCATTATCACAACCAAACTGTGCTGCCCAAGCAACGTGACATTAAGAAAACGAGTGCGGTTTCAAAAAGGTCACATTTTACATCATCAGGTTGTGTTTAGTAGGAAATGCTGTTCAAGACGCGCTGCCTAATAAACTAGAAACTGAAAGGAAATAAAGAGAAAGAAATATGACAATCGAATATTTTGTTGCACCACCTTTGGATTTGTTTATGGCATGCAAGTCACAACATCTATTTCCATTCAGAGTTGCAGTAATCATTTACTCTGATTTTGTATTTGAGTCACACTGCTGTGTTGTCTTCTTAAAGACAGTCAGCGGGGTGAAGGACGGGGCTTTGTAGCAAACTATTCATGCACAAAAATAACCTCTGCTGCTCCTTAGGCACTCTTTAACAAGTTTAATAATTCCTGTCTTTATATACTTGAAATATGCAAGTGCTTTCAGGAAAAGAAAAGAAAAAAAACAAACATTGCCAGGAGCTCTACTGACCAAATTCCCAAATGGTCAAATAATTTCTGCTGCTCACTCAAGTTTTTACCACAGAAATAATAATAGCTCATGATCCGTTTCTCTCAGTTTTCAATAATTAACTTAAGAGGTTAATAATATGACTCTTTAGAAATAGGCAATGCTTTATCGTCAAAGTTCATGCTCAATAATCCAGGTGAAAATCCAGCAATGCTCTGTCAGGTCATCTGGATGGTTTATTTTGTTTGCCGAGACGTTCCGTCCTTCATCCAAAGGACTTCATCAGTCCGAAGAGGCAAGCAAACTGAGTCCCACAAGCAGCACCCATAGTGGAAAAACAGTTTGCTGGTGATAAGATGGTTTTGGGGCCCACCCTCTCCCCTATCGACTTCTCCGAGATGGTGGGTCAAAACATCAAAGTTCATGTTCAATAATCCAGGTAAAAAAATCCAACAATGTTCAGTCAGGTCATCTGGACAGTTTATTTTATTTATTTATTTTGGCTGAGATGTTTCATCCTTCATCCAAAGGACTTCATCAGTAATGTTTTATGCAAACACAAGATCCGTCTCTCAATATAGCCATTTAGGAACAGGAACCCACAATGTTATTTAGAGTTAAAACAAATCAGTGCAATCCCACACACAATAATTAATGGTGTACTTTTCACCAACAGGAGCCTCCAACTGTATTTTTTGGTTAAAACCAAGTTCTGACTTTAACTAAGCAGTTCAGTCTCAAAAATACACACATTTACATAAACAATTAAAAGTTGAAGATTTTCAAATATAAACTGTAAAATGTGTCATACAAATTGACTTAAAAGTTTGAACCATCTTTGGAAAAAGGTTTTTTGTCTTGTTGTTCTAAATTTAACTGACCTGTGGCGCCCTCGTCAGGGCAGAAAGTTAAACAGATGCTACTGTAGAAGTAATCTTTAACTTTGTTTTTGCCTCGTGGGTGTTAGGAATGTTCTGCAGTAACAAATTGATTTTTTTCCTCGTTGGTGCTAAAACCAAATTATTGTTGTACTTTATCTGAAAAACTTATATGTATTAAAAAAAACCAACTTAGAAGTGTTATGAGAGGGTGTACATACCTGTTCACACGCCGTGGGCACTTGTCAGGCTTGATGTCTACCTCGTACAGGTAGACATCCATCTTTGGGATCTCCACCTGGAAACAGTTGGCCAGCAGCTTGATCGGCTTCCCCATGGTGCCATAGCCAGGGCGCCGAGGCATGGAGAACAGGGACTGGGCCCCAACGGCTCCTGAAAAAGAGCACGAGGATGAAGAGACTAATTTAAAGTGTGCGGATCAAATCACTCAGGTCAAAAACAAGCCTTAATGAAACATCAACAGTCAACAGTTGCAAGCTTTTCAAATATTGTGTATTTCATGGCAGGCATGTTTAAACAGCTTATTTTTATCATTAGTCATATTTAAAGTTAAACTTTAGGCTTTTGCTTTTACATGTTTTTCTCCATTTTATAAATTACTGCACTTTACATTCTTCTAAAAAATGCTCTCAGAAAATGGAATATTCAAAAATAGAAACTTAATAATGCTCAATTATCAAAAACGACGTCGTGCACATTGGTCTTTCCACCATCCTGTCAGCACTGGTTTGCAGAAATTACTAACAAGGTAATGACTGAGTGTAGATTAACAAATGTCACGCAGAGAAACTCAAAATGTCGAGATAAGGGTTTGTGTATAAGGGAAAAGCCAAGAATACGTCTCAGACGCTGACATTTCAAACTGTATGACACAAACTTGCATGAAACAATCTCAAAAATCATTTTTGTAGCATGAATATTCAAAGTGATCTGATGATGAATAAATCCAGCATCAAAATTAATAAAACATGACAAAGTAAATTAAGTAAAAATACATAATAAATAGTTGACATTTACAATTAAGAGCATTTCCTGGTTCATCAACTCTGAAGTTAAGAAACACCTCGACCTTATGACATAATCAGAGTGTGCTTCAGCAAATTGAGGAGTTTTGCCAGTAAACGTGGGCGATACTGAAAAAGCCGGTATCAATCAGATAAATACAGGGGAGGAAATCACTAATGATTCGCTACTTAAAAGTTTTTCTACACACACAGTCATGTCTTGATTTTCTTCTGATTAAAAAAATGCACAAAATGAATCACTTGGGGACATTAAAATAAAATAATTCCAGGCACAGCGTTCAGAAATGACAATAGAAAACTTACATGTAGTGTAACTCTATATAGTGTCATGTCACACACGTGTTGTAAAAAATGAAGAAATTACGACTGACCTTGCACACTCAGTTAAAGGGAAAGCATGAGCTGTCTCAGACATGAGTCACTTTGATCCAGAACCACACAGTTCTCAACCTAATCTGCCACACTCATGTTGGGGCTATTTTTTTGGGTTTGCCGAGGTTCACCTTCCTCATCCAACTTCAGAAAACATGCTTTTGTCCAAGTGCCACTTCACTATTTTATTACACTTGTAGTGCATGTTATATAATTTTTATGCATTAAATGCTTTCTTATGCCAATTCAACCATTTTTTTTAATCCTATTTTACTTTCTTCACATTCTGTGCTCTCCCCCTTGAAAAAACCTGCCCATGACGTGCCATTGATAAACAGGAGTCATGCTTGAGTGTGATTCATCTCCGATTTGACTCACAAGGCCACATGTGTAGGCTGCGGTTCAGAGCTAAACTAAAGTGGGAAATTCATTTAAAAACAATCTCCTGAAAACAAAACAGAAACCTTACTTGAAGCAGTAGCAGACAAAAGAAGTGGTTGTTTATTTATAGTAGGATTATGGACGCTTTCTCCTCTGGTTGGTTGTAGAGTAAAAAGGAACTGGGTAGATTGAAAGAAAACGTTCTTTGGTTTCAGATGGCCTCGTGGAGAGAAAAGCGGAAAAAAAGATGTGGGGAAAGTCTGAAATTCCTACTGCAGCTGTCTCCGTCACAGAACACCAAGATCACAATAACCGTGATAATTCACTTGGGAACTCTGGTTAAACTTGTGAGCTATGCCCCCAAATACACAAGCTCAGTGAGAAAAAGAAGATGCTCATCCAGGTGTGTTACAGAAACAACTCATTTGTCACAATTAAGAAGCATTTCAATTGTGATATTTTCATTAACATAAAAATAACTTTAAAAAAGTGATGTCCTTTCAGAGGTGGCAGAACTACAGAGAGGGCAGGGTTGGTGTTCGATTCGATTCAATTTTTTTATATGGCGCCAAGTCACAACAGAAGTCATCTCGGGGCACTGAACAGAAACGTTCACATACATAAAAAGTACGTCAATACTGAAGAAGAGACAGCATGCTGCTTTGAGTCTTAACCGTCGCAGACTCTCATCCTGAGCAAGCGCAGGAGGCAACAGTGGAAAGGAAAAACTCCCCCCTAACAGGAAGAAACCTCCAGCAGAACCAGGCTCAGGACAAGCGTCCGTCTGCTTCGACTGGTTGGGTTTGAGAGGAACAGGAAGGAGGAACGGATACACAATGGCAGGCCGAGAATCACGTTGAGAAATAATTTCAACTGCAAACTATTAATTTTTTTGAATTAGTAACTATTCATTTGAAGAAATTAGGTCAATTTGTCCTCCAGTAGTCTAAGCCTTTGGCAGCATAACAAGCCAACCCTAACTATAGGATTTATCAATAAGACCAGTCTTAAAACTGGACAATGTGTCAGTCTCATGGACAGAAACTGACGTTGGTTCCACAGAAGAGGAGTCTGATAACTGAAAGATCTTCATCCCATTCTGCATTTGGAAACTCTCGGAACCACAAGTAAGCCTGCAGTCTGAGAGTGATGTGCTTTGTTAGGAAAATATGGAATAACAAGATCTGTAATATAAGATGGAGCTAGGTTGTTGAGAGCTTTGTAGGTTAGAAGTAAGATTTTGAATTCAATTCTGGATTTGACAGGGAGCCAATGGAGAGAAGCTGTTCTGTTCAGTGGTTTTGTTCCATGTTGAAAGTGAGTGAGAAAGCCACGACAGTTAAAGAAACATCCAGCTCTGGACTCTAACAGATTACCTCCTGTAACAGTGACAAGTTCTTACACCCCACAGAAACAAACACCACATGGCAGGTATCCAACAAAGTTAAGTCAGGTTCTCTGGATGAGTTTTTATTATTATTGTTATTATTGTTATTATTATTTAAAGAAAGCTTTCAGAGGACCTGACTTAACTTTGTTTGTTTTTTTTAACCTGGAAATATTGAGCATGAATCAGGACACATGGCAGGTAATTTCTCATTTTGTCCACTTGTGTGCACACAGCAACTAGTTCTATGTCATATAGGCTTCGCCCTTTAAGGCTGTCGCTGATGGGTTTATCCCGTTATGCGCAAGCATCATACTGAAAAAATTAGTCCACGCCCACCTGCTGTGTGGGCCCCACCCGATCCGTATAAATTACATTAAGAGCGGGTAATCTGCTCCCATTTTTCTTCAGCAAGCTAGTATAATAAAACAAACTGCATGGTCAACACCCTGCTCATTTATTCGCTTTTACCTACGTGATGTAACGGCTCGTTCCATGACACATTCTGTCCTTAGTGCTCTAACAGAATGAATATTGTCGTTTTCTCCATGGAACTCTGTTTAAGCTCACATCTGTCTGCATGCTTCACAGTGTGAGATGTTGTTATCAGCCACAAGTTGTGTCTGTGATTTTGGTTCTATTGTCACTAATCAGTTCATGACTATTGTTACCAATCAGTTCATTTGTTCAATAATCAGTTCATTGATATTAATCTGTTTATACTGTTCAATCATGAACCAGTTGGTTCATGCCCCCCCCCCCCCTCCTCTTTTCAACATCTTCTCCCCGTTGAAAGTTTTTTCCGGGGCGTTCATGTTTTGTCAGATCGCATAGTTACACAACATGCGTCTGTGCATGGCACACAATTACGCGATGCGTAGTTATGCACATGGGGAGCTGAGTGACAAGACGTTTTTTGGGCAAGCTTCCGCTTCTTACTGTGTTCGAATGGACCCAGTGAGGCGAGGACCACATCCGCTTCGCCCTTAACCCATCAGCGACAGCCTTAAAGGGCGAAGCCTATATGACATAGAACGTTGGTTACGTACTGTAACCCCAGATTCTATGAATATAGGCGTAGCCCTTTAAGCGTCGGGCCTCACTGATTCCTGAATAGCTGAAGAAAAAATAAGCTATTTTGGGAGCAGATTACCCGCTCTTAATGTAATTTATACGGATCGGGTGGGGCCCACACAGCAGGTGGGCGTGGACTAATTTTTTCAGTATGATGCTTGCGCATAACGGGATAAACCCATCAGCGACAGCCTTAAAGGGCTACGCCTATATTCATAGAATCTGGGGTTACAGTACGTAACCAACGTTTTGTTTCTGTATAAAACCACAAACGGAGACGTACAGCAATGTGTCACCATGGTACAATACAGCAGCGATAAAATAATTTAGTTAGCGTTGATATTACTTAGAAGAGTTACACTTTTGGCATTTGGTACAAACCACGTTTGCTCAATTTTTTTGAGAAACAAATGACCCCTGACATATAGCTCAGCCTCGCATTTCAAAATTTCCTCAACGTGCCTCATTGTAAAAGTAGTGCTGACTTGTGTTTGCACTGTGGGGGTTCGAGATGGCTAATAAACCGAAACCACTCTTTAAACCAGACATGACTTGGCTTTGAAAATAACTTACAATTTTTGTAAACGTATATAAATATATAACACACATATATAGAATAAATCCATTTTCTTTCAAGTAGAAAAGATTGAGTTTTTGTTGAAAAATAGGTCATTAATAAAACTGTAGTTTTAACTAAAGCTTTCAGCAACAATGGATGAGTAAAAATGACAATACGTCACATACAGGAGGCGACACTCTGAGAGGCTGAAAACGTACCAAACATGTTGCGCTAAAGCTAACAAAGCATTTAAAAATCTGGCCCTGTAGAACAGAAAACTCTCCCTATCTTTCTGTGTTCCTTCACAGAGACACAACAAATGAGACTCTTTACAAAGGCAGAAGTGACGGGGTCCAAGCAGAAAGTATTCCCGAGTTAAACTCAGAAACGGATGCAGAAAGGCAAGCGAAGCGCTTTCGATCTACACATTTATCCAAATTATGCTACTTGTGCACTGCGTGTACTGATATGCGACATTCAGAGAAAGCAATGAATAAAAATTCTGCAAATTTTACACGTAATGTAGACTATGTCATTAAATCGTTGCAGCTCAAGAATTTTTTTTAACAAAAAACAAAAATAAACGCCGCTCCTTCAGCATAGCATGCAAGGTGTGTGGTATGCTACACACCCACCTATGCCACTATACAAAAACCTCCAGACTCAGCAAGATTAAATAAAGAATAATCAAGGACACGTCGAGGATAGCGTGACTTCTGCTGCTGGTGGGGGACATGTTACAGTGAGCCATGCCAAATCTTGAAAACTCCACCACAAATGCACACATTTAGGTACAGGGCTTTGAAAGAGCCAGTTTAGCTGAAAAATGCTGCACTGTGTGTGTATGAGTTAAGAGAATCTAGTTTGTGTGTGCAATTTGGATAATTACAGGAAGGACATGCCTTAACAAACAGTACATTTGATCTTCCTACGATCTGTCTGTGTGGTTTTATTTTCTGGGCTTGTGCAATCATATAGTAGGACAAAATGACTCTTCACCATAGATGTAATTACACGTCAATAAAATGTCAGCATTTCTGTAGAAATGTGTAGATTAATGAACCCAAAGATCTACTGCGCCCTGTTTAAAGAATGTCATAGCATACATGTTGCTCTTTACTGCACAGCTAACCGTTTACACCAGCTGCTTTCAGTTTTAATGTTCTGCTGTTTTAGATGTGTGCGGTCAGCTGGGAGTCCTACATTAGACCTTTTCTGTGGGCCAGTTGGTTTTAATCAGCTCAGCTGGCTACACAACAACCTCCTGACACGGTCTATAATTTAAAGGAATCCTGAACTTCCAACATGTGCTTTAATGCAGTATACAAACCAAGCCTAAACATTTTGTTTTTCATGTCACTGTGTCTGTGTAAACCTGAAATCATATCAAACTATGATGGTTCAATATAATCATCTAGCAGTAATGCAAACTTTTTTTTATTTTTACTAATAAGTGTATTGACTAGGCCTGTCACAATAAATCAATGAATCGCACGACAAAATTTAAAATATCGACCTAATTTTCATTTATCGGCTTTATCGTTTCATCGTGTCCCTTTCTATTACTAAGCTGAGAAGCTAAGCTACAAGCTAAGCTAACAGGACAACCTTGGGGGGGGGACATCTTGTCGAAGCTCCAAAATTCACGGTTGAAACTCGTGCATTTGTGTAAAAAGTTTCTCTCTGCAAAAAGAAGCCGAGAACTTGTTTACGTTTTTTTTTTTTTTTTAATTAAAAGCTTTGTGTGAAAAATGTTATGCTGAAGAGCTTGAATCGCACCAAGTGTCCGCCATTTTGAGAACAGGAGAGAGACAGCCTATGACAGATCAAGGGGCCTCCCTCCCATTTTTCTTAAACGCGCTGCTTGCTCCCTTACTATCCATCCTTCAGTTCAGTCTTATACTGCCAGCCGGTGGTTGGAAAAATGTACTACATATAAAACAAATTAAACATTTCCTTTTAAATATTTGACAATTACTAATTATTGTCACAATATTGTCGTTTATTGCAATAATTTCTGAGACAATCGCCCACCAAAATTTGTTATAGGGACAGGCCTAGTATTGACGCAGTCTACTTTTCTATAGTCGCATCAAGACGAAATTAATAGTTACTTTTAAATCTACCCAGTGACACTACATTAGCTGCTTCTTTGCATCACTGGAAGACGTATTTTAAGAACAGAAAAATGCACACGATTAGAAGAAAACAGCAGAAATTTGTCAGATTAAAAAAAGTATATCCCTCCAATGATTCAGATGCCTTTCTTTGCATATACTCAGCAGAAACATCTCAGCAATGTGAACTCATTCCACTCTGCTGCTTTGTAACACAACACAGTCACACACTGTAAACAGTGGGCTGCGAGCCAGATTAACTGGCTAGTGAGAAGCCAGGCTGACGTCCAGTCACTGCAAACGCCCTCGACCACATCTCCTCGATCCACAAACGTCCACGCTCACCCTGCTAATATATGCACGTGTCCACACAGCTACACACATAAATACACACAATACAGCTGTTGTATTTCTAATCCAGAGAGGCCTGTGCTGTAGGAACAGCATGAGCGCCCAGTTACCAGGCACAATAGCGTCAGTCACAGCAGGCAGAACCTAGAAACGCACTCGGACCGTCACAGAACGACTGAAGGTTGGCAAAGACAACTGAAGCAAGTCACACATGGTAAGAACTACTCCCTCTCCCTCTCTCATTCCCTTCATCAATCTCAAGAGAGTGCTGCATCAGGCACCCAAGGGAGCTTCTGCCACTCTCCAACAGATAAACACCAGCAGGTTGCCACACACCGACCGGCTGACGAGGGCATGGTCAGTCAAAACAACATGCAAATATGTTGAAATCCCCCTCAAGCCAAACCCGAGGCAGAATGAGAGCAAAGGAGCACACATGATGCAAACATTTCAGAGAAGATACAGGTGAGGACATTTGACGGGGGTAAGAATCGACAGGAATGTGAGGCCAGTTTTGACTATAGTGGTGTCAGGGAAGATTCAGCTGTTTTACTGACATAGGTAGGTGATGAGTTTGACACCCCTGGACTAAATGAAGCCTTGTGTCTTGCTATCCCAACCTGAGGTGGATCAGACATAGGTTAAGATTAATCGATTTATGACGTGGACTTGGATATGACGAGCCCTCTACCACACTGGGGGTTGAAATCCACACTATAAACCAACCAAAACAATGTACGCTGATTGCCATCACAACAGGAGCATCTTATGAATGAATAACTCAGGTTGTCAAAGTGGGCAGTCAATAAGAATTATGATAGTTGTTTAAAATTTGAGTAACTTTGTGGCCATCAATCCCTTTATTAATAACTATTTTAACACATGAAAACTAGGGATGCACCGATCCACTTTTTCACTTCCGATCCGATACCCGTTGTTTAGTGCCGACCGATCTGATACAGAAATCAGTGCTGAATTAACAAAAATTGCTAAATCATGTCATCTGGACCCGTTTCTGAAACACGTCCAGATGGCATGATTTAGCCATTTTTGGTGTTTACCTGGATGTTTGAGCTTACAATTCCAGTGCAGAATTAACTTAAAAATTTGTTAAACGCAGACATGAATGTACTGAATTACAAATTGATTGAAAACTCGGCACCATAACAGCAAACTTAAAACACACCAAGAGCTTCACAAACTAAGTCAAACGTAAAAACAACAACTTTCATTTGTTCAGTCAGTACGTTAGCGCATGACGTCACTCAGAGCACAAAGCATAGAATTAGAGTGAATAGATCTGGCCAGTCATGGATCGGTCACTTTGTCACCGATAAGCGATCCAGAAGGTTTTTTTCTCGACATCGGTACCGATATTGGTATCGGATCGGTGCATCTCTAAAAATCAAATTTTGATACGAGTGATTTCTGCCTGACCCCTAGTGAGCCACAAAATATAAAATAATAAAATAAATAACATGCAGACTTTTCCTTTCAGGTCCACTTATTCCTGTGCATAACCTCCTCCCCCACACACAAGCCCCTTGCAGCTCCCCCCAAAAACACATCTCAGGAAACAAAAAAAAAAAAAAAAAGAAGGAGTATGAACGAGTAGGAGGTGGAAAAGCAGCGTGGTCTGGCTCCTCTGGCCTAAAACACCATGACACATCACAGCCTTCCTCCCTAGCCTCCCAATTTAATGTATCCTTTGACACGTTCATGCACAATCACTTGACTTTTATTTGTTTTTGTGTGCGTGTGTGGTGGTGGTGGGTGCTCAGCACACATCGTGTTTGTAGCACAACAAATGTAAGCAGTCAGAACAGCTTCATAGTCTATCACATTCGAATGTTTCAGACATGGGAGTGAACACTAGAAAAGATATTTAGTTCAGTGACAAAGTACTCAAAATATCCAGGTATACAACAAACATTTTAAATAGCCAACAAAAAAGCATGTTTGATTATTTTTAAATCATATTTCATTTTCTTTAGAAAATGAACTGGAATAGCGCTCCTAGTAGCACTTTGTCTTTTAACACTAAACATCAAAAAATAGAACTAAAAAACAGTGGCTCAGTGGGTAGAGCTGCCGCCTCTCAGCGAGAAGGTTGCCAGATCGAATCCCGGCTGGGGACCTTTCTGGGTGGAGTTTGCATGTTCTCTCTGTGAATGTGTGAGTTTTCTCAGAGTACTCCAGTTTCCTCCCACAGACCAAAAACATGCATGTTAGGTTGATTGGTAACTCTAAACTGTCCCTAGGTGTGAGCGAGAGCGCGAATGGTTGTTTGTCTCAATATGTGTCCCTGTGATGGACTGGAGACCTGTCCAGGGTGTCCCCCGCCTCTCGCACAGTGACTGCTGGATATGGGCATCAGTGACCCCCACTAACTAAAAAGGAAGAAGCAAGTAAAGATGAAGGATGGATGTAACAGATTAGTTAAACTTTAGGGCTTGTGAAAAAAGTTAAAACATAGCTTTTCATTAAAAAAATAAAAAATATATAATAATAATAATAATATATATGATTCACAATTTGAACCATACTGGTTTGTTATTTTGCCAGTTTTGGTACAAAATGTAATACAAATGGAGAAAAAACAGGTTTCATGTTTTTTGTCAGTGAATTTAAGTTCAAGGGTAAAACCCCCTCAAACCTTGCTAAACTGCAGTCTCCATAGAAACTAACAACAATATGTCAATGGTTAGCCTTATGGGTGGCTGGGATTGCAGACAGGGGGCACTCCATTGTCAACAG